GAACCTTAAAGAGAAATCAAAGAAATTTAAATCATTAATCATTAATTTACAAATGGAAAATTAGAATAAAAATACAAATATTCCCATATACAGTTATTAATATTTAAAATTCTAATTGACTCTGATGGTTTGCGAAGACAAAATTTGTACACAATGATAGAACTGTTAATACTCTAAAAATCTTGGAAATTCTGTAAATTTTTTAATATGTCAAAAAATATGCTAACAAAGCGTACCTTTTAGTCTTAAGCCATATAAGAATTCTTCCACTGGTAAAACATATCTAATTTACACTGGTACTGAAATATTTTTACCCAAAATTTTTATTTTAAATTTAAAACATTAACTCCAAATGTAAACTATAGTAACAAGATAAGTATGCATTCCTTGGGGGAAAGTGATGAGGTTATGCATATTATAAAAAGCAAGACATTTTATTCTAAATGAGTTGCTTTTTAAAGTCTATTAATACTCTTGAGGCGGGAGAGCACTGGGCTATTCTAAAATTGAAAGCCTTTCCACTAAGAATTATAGAGATCTCAACTGAGTGACCTTCTAAAAAAGCATCGCATCTGATAATGGTCTAAGTCCCTTATGACAGTTCCTATCCAGCTATTCTCAGGTTGGAATAAATCTGTGATTCTCTACTGGGAACATGAAAATTCTGCCTCACCCAGGAGACTTTCCCCCCAACTACTACCCCTCCGCCCCCTCCACCTCGAGCCAGCAAAGTCACAGGATATGCTTCAGCCCGATCCCGGCTGCCCAGTGCTGGCAAAGTAGGTGGCCATTTCCTTCCCACTGCCTCATGCTTCACCCTGCCAGGATAGAGCAGTGGCACCAGAGTGAGGGGACAGCGTGGTGGCCTATCAATGGATGCACTAAACAACAAACAGATCAATACTTCTTTTTTGAAAAGTACAAAACATNTGCCACGATAGAGCAGTGGCACCAGAGTGAGGGGACAGCGTGGTGGCCTATAATTAATCAATGGATGCACTAAACAACAAACAGATCAATACTTCTTTTTTGAAAAGTACAAAACATTCTTCAAATCTGGGATGAAATATCTACCACACATGTGTAATAATAGTTTGAAAAGGTTTTCCGATTATGGGTTTATTTACCCATATTTAACTGGAAGAATGGCCTAAAAATTCATGTTTTTTTTTAAATTTTTCCAAGTTATAGTTTCTATTCAATTGCCATACAGTTCAATTAAAGCAAACTTCAAACTTACAAAAATATTCTTTTCTGTCACTCATAATTCATAGCCTACATACACATAGCTGACTTAAAATTTTGAGTTTTTTCTTAAATTTTTATGATATAGTCTTCTATTAAAAATATCCCATGGTAGATTATTACATTTTTATTTCAAGAATTTTGAAATTCTGAATAGAAAATTGAAAATGTTGTGATCAGGAGACTGGCATAATGGGATAATATCACAAAATCAAGGTCAATAATCAACAGTATAATACATCTCTCTCTCAAATTTTGAATCTATAGCCACATCACAAAGAATACTAAAGTAACAATGATATAGCTATATTCAAACAGTATTATTCTCATTAATGCCCTAATTTGACATTTTACTCTTAAATTATGTATCACTGCTGCTTAAGCCCTTCAATCCAGATCTAAATTTTCTCACTGCAACCAAAAACGCTACCACCACCTAATATTTATTATATAATCAGTACTAAGCACTTTGCAGACTTTGCTGCACGTATCAATTTAATATTTTCCTTAACAATCTATCTTCTTTTATCTTTGATTTAAAATATAACCATTTTCATAATACAATGCAACTAGTAAAAGGTTCAGTTATAACACTAATGGGTAAAATTTGATATTTGAAAAATAACATATATAAGTTTGGGATATTCTCCTATGATTTTATAATGCAGAAGGAAAAAACAAGTGGGAAATATTGTGGCCCTTTAAAATATCTATTCCTTGACCAGTCATGCTCTCCCTCAAAGAATCCTCAGAAATGGTCCAAAATCCAAGTTATTTAAAAAAAATAGCACCAATAAGAATAGTTCCATTTTATGAACAGGAGAGACAGAGTATACTAGTCATAAATATCATGGCTACATTAACTAATTTTTAAGACAATCCTGAAATATTGGCATGGTTTTGAAACGCCAAAATACGCATGAATGGTCTTTTAAGGCTTATCATTCGTGAAGGGAAAAATTACTTGCA